GGGCAGCGCGTCCTGACTCCCCGCTCTGGGACGCCGCCTCCCGCTTCTCCGGCCGGAGCAACTTTCGGGCTGCTGGTGCTCGGGGCGGGGGAGGGCTGGAGAGAAGAGAGCGAGGAAGCGGGGCTGTGCGCAGCCTGCCAGGGCCGCCAGCACTTCCTCAATCCAGAGAGCAGCGTGGAGGGGGAGGAGAAAGGGAGTGTGTGTGTGGGGAGGGTGAGGGGGGTGAGTGTGAGGGGAGGGGGGAGGAGAAAGGGAGTGTGGGGGGGATGAGTGTGAGGGGAGGGGGGAGGAGAAAGGGTATGTGGGGGGGATAAGTGTGAAGGGAGACGAGAAAGGGAGTGTGTGGGGGGGTGAATGTGAGGGGAGGAGAAAGGGGAGTGTGTGTGGGGGGGTGAATGTGAGGGAAGTGGGTGCAGAGAAAGGGGTGAGTATGGGGGAGTGGGTGAGGAGAAAGGAGTCTGCATGGGAGGTGAATGTGAGGGGAGGGTGAGTGTGAGGGGAGTGGGTGAGGAGAAGGAGTGTGTGGGGAGTGGGTGCAGAGAAAGGGGTGAGTATGGGGGGAGTGGGTGAGGAGAAAGGAGTCTGCGTGGGAGGTGAGTGTGAGGAGAGAGGGTGAGGAGAAGGGGTAGTGTGTGTGTGGGTGATTGTGAGGAGAGGGGGTGAGGAGAAAGGGGATTGCATGTGTGTGTGTGTGTGTAGGCCAGAGGAGAGCTGGAGGACGGGGAAGGGCTAGGCAAAGGGTGTGGAAACGGTGTCAGGAGGAGCCAGTGTGCACAGGCAGCTGGAGTTTAATCAGACTGGAGTGTGTTAGGCAGTGGGGAAGAGGGGTAGAGATATAAGGGGGTGATGGAGAGCAGTAGCTTTCGACCTTTCCAGACTCCTTCCAGGAGTCTGATTTGTCTTGCATACCCCAACTTTCACCTCACTTAAAAACTACTTCCTTACAAAATTAGACATAAAAATACAAAAAGTTTCACAGCTTACTATTACTGAAAAATTGCTGACGTTCTCATTTTTACCATATAATTACAAAATAAATTGATTGGAATATAAATAGTGTACTTACATTTCAGTGTATAGTAGATTGAGTAAAACACTAACGTTTTATATTGCTCTCTTTGCTAGTACTTTTTATGTAGCCTGTTATAAAACTAGGCAAATATCTAGATGAGTTGAGGTACCCCGGATGACCTCTGTGTACCCCCAGGGGTATGCATACCTCTGGTTGAGAACCACTGATGTAAAGGAGCAAGTGTGCGAGAGGGGAATGTCCATGAGGCAGTGTGTGCATGCACTATTGCCAACCTCACATGTGCAAAAAAAGCAGGAGATTGCCCCCCAATTGTGACTTAAAAAAAAAAATAGACTGGTGTTTTTCAGTCTGGTTTTTGATGTTTGAACTCTCCCTACTCACCTGCAGCGTGTGCACACTAGAAAGGGGGGTGGGGAGCATTCTCCACTGCCTAGTCATTTACACGTGTGCAGTAGGGATATAAGAGGATTGGGTAGTGTTTTACACCCGCTTTGCCAATGTGGCCAACTCTCACAATTTGACTAAGGGATTGTCTACACGGTGCTTTAGTCCGCACTGGAGGGGTGTAAAGTTGAGAATGCACTTGCATGTTGCACACAAACTGGCCCGTATGTGCCCTGCTGACATGCATGAAAAGTTCTCTTGTGCGCGTAGTGCTGTCTAAAACAAGTCTACATTAACACGCACTAGGAAACTTTTTGTGCACACCAGCAGGATCAGTTAGTGCACAACACGCTAGTGTGGACTAAAATTTACATCTCTACAGTCCACACTAAAGATCAGATGCTTTTCTAAAAGATAGAGTCTAGGAAATATTTTGGGGAAGCGTTAGGGATGGTGTTATACGGGAGGGCAGACTAGATGATCACAGTGGACCCTTTTGTCTTTGGAATTGATGAATCATGTAGACAAGTTTTCTAATATTTAGTATTTTTCTGAAAACCCCACCTCCTGGAGTTATGTGATTGCATGAAAAACTCAGATTTCATTTTTTAAAATAGATACACTTCTGTAGTCATAAAGGCAAATAAAAAACTCAGTATTTATTATTTTTATAATTCTTGTGTTTTTTATGCCAATCTCATGATTTTCTCTGGCCTCACTCATGATTTTTTAATGTTTGAGACTGGCCATCAGTATTGCCAAAAGTCATGCGGCCACTCCCAAATCATGAGATTGGCTTAAAAACATGAAAACTTTAAACAAAAATATTTTGTCATTTTGACACAAGAGGCCAAATTCAGAGATGATGTGAAAGGAGGGTTAGTGAGTGAGTGCAAGTCCAATCACATCAATTAAGGGCCTCCTCGGGAGTAACAGACACAACGAAGAGGATAGAAAAACTGCAAGTTACCCCAAATTAGACTCTCTCTACATTTACTCAGAGTGATCCCTTTGTCTATAGCTATCAGTTAATAATTATGGGACAAATTTGTAACAATATTTAGACACCTGGGCACTTACCAGCACCTAAATGCATTTGAAAATCCCACTAAGTTCCTATGTAACTTTTAAAAAATCTGCATCTATGTCAGTGGTTCTCAAACTTTTGTACTGGTGACCCCTTTCACACAACAAGCCTGAGTGAAACCCCCTCTTTTAAATTTATAAGACTTTTTTATATATTTAACACCATTATAATGCTGGAGGCAAAGCGGGGCTTGGGGTGGAGGCTGACAGCTTACAATCCCCCATGTAATAACCTCACGACCCCCTGAGGAGTCCCGACCCCCAGTTTGAGAACCCCTGACCTATATCTACTAGATAATTGGTCCATTACTGCTGTATGATTTATCCTATGCTATGAATCTGTATTGGTTATGATATATTACATAGCACATTAACCAGCTTCTAACCCATAGGTGGGCAAACTACGAGCCGCAGGCCACATCCAGCCCATGGGCTACATTCACAGGAATATACCCCGAAAGCCACATCTCCTGCAATTCAAAGGAATATAGCAGCCCTGTGCTGTTTACTGGGGACTATACTTCCTTGTATGTATTGTCAATAAACGTACTGCATATTAACACCTCTTTTTAGAATGCAGCTGGCATCTCTCGATTTTGTAACAGTTGGGTCTTTCCCTTTCTAGCTTCACGTCACTATCACGTTCCCACAGCAGATGAGCCTATGTTTTCTAGAGTTGTGTTCAGTGCTCATTTCCTCTCCCCCCCCCCCCCCACTTATCATTTTGGCTTGTTTCTGGACCAGCTCTCTTCATTCCCTACATGGTGTTCTCTACATTTTCCTCTCTCCTTTGTGCTTCCTTCCACAACTTCTTTCTAGTCCTGTCTACTCATTCACACCCCGGCATCAAACACAGGGCTTGGAAATGTGGCCAGACACTTAGGACTTGCGTAAGTGCTTTGGGTAGCTGGAGCTTTAACAGCCAGAGTACCTAGCCTACTACCCAAGATCCACATGCAAGAGTCCCACTGTCCAGGATCAAGTCTCCGGTGAAAAGCCAAATCACAGAACCAGCTCCCTCTACCATTGCTACCACAGTGCTATCCCTAGTCCCTGCTTGGGAGCCGGGGCCTTTATTTTTCCCTCTCATCGTGTAGCTAGTAGGTGCCTGATAAAACAAAGCCCTTCCGACCCATTCTTCCTGCTTCCCTGTTCCATATACATGTCCTGCCCTACAAGTTTAGCCTAAACTGCTTGACGTTGCCCCTTTAAGAAAAGGTAAAGCAACAATGAGGATGTAGTGAGGCCCACTCTTGCAGTAGACCTTAATCCAGTAAACCTTCCAGTAGAGAAAGTAGGTTTTGCACAAATTAAAAACTGCAGGAGGGAGACTGGGATGAAGCAAAAAAACACCCTGCATTGATATAAAAAAAGCAGAAGATAACATTGCAGACTTTTTGGCTGCATTCATCTGCCCCCTTCCTCCCTCCCCAATGTAGTTTCCTTTTAAACTTGCCTAACAACGCGGTCATCTGCCACCGCAGTGACTTGTAAGCCACTGCAATTTGTCTGTTACAGAAAAGTGAGTCTTTTTACTTTTCTATGGCATCTGTCACCAAAGAGCCACTACAGACATGAATGAATCAGCCCCCAACCCCCTGAAAGGTAGGGAAACAAGTCTGCCCATATGAAAAAAACAGTACAAGGGTCAACTAAACCAACCAAAGCAGGGACATTCTAATTTAATGCTCCCATTGCATCCATGGCTGCCCTGTTGTGCCTAGGTGTGGCAAATTACTTAGGGCTAGTCTACACTAGCAGCGATTTTACACGGCTTGTGTAATCACGAGCATCCAGTGCTCGCAAACACCCACCTCGACGATAGGCGTAGCTCCCTGCGCTGGTGCACTGTCGACACTGGCACTTGGCTGCACTCAGGGGTGTGTTTTTTCACACCCCTGAGCAACAAAGTTGCAGCACTGTAAAGTGCCAGTGTAGACAAGCCCCAAGACCTCTTCTGATAAAGGCCTTATTGGTTACAGATCCTACCCACGTAAAGGGGATCTAAGGACAGAGTGACTGTGATCAGACAGACAGGTGTTTGGATTAATAGACACTTCTGCTGGATGGAAAGTCCCCAGATTATTTAGGTTTTACTCAAATAAAGAGAATTTATTTATTCAGAGCAGATTTCAAAGTAATCCATAGGGGGTGTAATTAAACCACACTGTAATTTTCTTTTTAAAAGCACCGAGTTTTAATATGTAATAGTACTAAATTACCTTTTTTTTGTAAGTTATTCATTGGTGCTAGAGCATGATATTTTTACACCAAGGAGATCTTTATTCTGAATATTCTCACTGAGTTCAATGAGACAACCCAAGATGTCAGGTACTATTCAGTGTGAGTATAGGTATCACAATCTGGCTGTAGATTTTCAAAGTCTGTTCTGTCAAAGTTTGTTTACTTGTTTGAGTAAAGTCAGCAGGATTTCCCCCCCCCCCCACTCTTTAGTGGACAAGATCGCATCTGTAACATTTATACAAACCGTACCACAAAAAGTTAAACATTTTTATTAAGAATTGAAAAGCTAATATTACAAAAAGATACCCATATTCTAAATATATACATGAGGTTTAAACACATAGTATTTCTATGTACCTTCAGCTATAAAAATACATTAGATTAACTGTACTCTAATTTATAAATATATTTTAAAAAATTAAGTAGTATTTCATATGAAAAGTATTACTGTGCAATGAAAGAATATAAATCCTCTAACGGGTCATTTTATGTTAGTGGCTAATGTTACTTGATATATAATTTAGAAAATTCAGTGTGTAAAGTCAAACCCTGATTTATACAGTAAGAGAATACATTACTAAGTCATTCGTTTAACTTGAGGGGAAAAAAGAAGTGAAAATATTACATATAAAAACCAAATGCTAAAAAAGATTGTACATTTCAGATGTTGTCATGTTTTCATTCCCCCAAGATGTTTCTCAAACAAACAAAAAAATACAGACAGCTATATTAGTTATTATTGTTATTCCAGCTTCATTTTACTATTTACCTTGCCTCCAGATCATTTGCTTGTAGCTCTAGAAAACATAAGTCGGCAATAGTAAGCTGCTTGTCTGATAAGACAGTTGAGATCTCGCTAAATGTACTACAAAAATAGAAATATATTTACAGTTTTCCCATTTGGACTTTCATGGGATCTCTTCTGCATTTAGGTGGAGAGATGCATCTGTGGAAGTCCCACCGCTTACATCCATGGGAGAGCAGACCCCCACCCCTCTCCTCCTGCCAGTTGCGTACAGCTGTCAGTGGTATGTTATTTATGAGTGATCAGAGATTAAGGGGCACAAAAGCCTCATTTCTTTCAAGATTCAGTGACTAACAAGGGAAACTTCTTTCATACCTCCTCATCTATCAGCATGGTAATAATTCTTACTTATCCAGGAGGAGCATCTCTGGTGGAAGAAAGTTATTGGGTTATGCTCTAGCTTTGCGGTTTGCCCCACAATGCATTTCCACGTTAAACCCTAATTTCTGGGGTTTGTCATCTACTGCTGCTTTAGACACCTGCATAACTTCCTTTGACAACAAAGGGCCCTTAGGAGCACTCCAGTGAAGTCAACAGGCATTCGCTGCCTTAGGAGTCCTAGGTATGACACAAAGGAGTTATGCACCTCAGGCCAATTTGCTCCCATGATACCTGAGTGGGGTATTTGCCCATTACCTGCCTTCCCTCAGCTTTGATCTTGGTTGAGGATTCTAGACAGAACATTGCTGGAGCTGGCTGTGGAATCAGAGCATCTTCCAACCACCCTCATCACAAATCGCCCTCCCCAGCTAGTGCTGCCCAATTTGGGGCCAGATTGCCAGCATGGCAGGAATTTTATACCACTGCAAACTGACAGGGGCCCACCTACAGGTTGCACAATGGGTTCCTGCAGCATAGACCCTAGGTGATTTAGCCCATGAAATGGAGACAGTTGAAACTTTGCATAACAGTCCTGGCCGGGGAGCAATTTCTTTTTCACAGCGTATTTTCAGAAATCTATGTTAAATTACATTCATCTGCGGGGCGGGGGAAAACAGAGGTTTAGGGGAGTTTACCAATCCTGCTCAACATAAAGAACAGCTCCAGCTGAACAAAATGAGATTCACATGTTGGGATAAAAACGATGGCAGAGAAGCGAGACGCATGTTTTGCTGTCTCTCCAGCCTTCTGTTTCTTTTGGAAGATTTCCATTTGGGTTTCTAGCCCATGGATGTTTTCTGCAGTGTGCGTGCCCTGCTACAAGGCTGGCAGGAGCGCTGGCGTCTTTACTGTAGATGCAGTGCAAAATCCTCTTGTGAAAAGTGCCTTAGTGAAGATTTATCATACACCGTATGAACTCTTCTGAAACCAGACAGGTTAGTGAGTCAATGACTTGTTTTCAGTACGCGTAGAGTACATGCGTCACAATACAAGGGGTACAAAAGTTCCCCTCCTCCTCAAGTCTAAATATGTAGGATGAAACTGGTCCCACTGAAGTAGATGGCAAAACCCCTATTGACGTCAATGGGGATATGCTATCACCATTATGGAGGATGTGTGTGTATTAGAGAGACCAAGACAACTCTTTTAGATAAAAGTGCTTTACATAACCTTCCACAAAGACATAAATAAACTGCCCCCCTCATAGGGCTCAATTCTCCTCTTCACCCCAATATAACTCCTGTGATTTCAATGCTGTTATACTGGCTTATATCAGCAGCAATGCCACTGAAGTCAATGGAGCTATGTTGGTTTATACCAGCTCAAGTCCACAGGTCTTTCAACATTCCATGCTAGTGATGCCTTGGGTCTCTCTAATATGGCATTGGGGGTGATTTTGCCTTCAAAGTCCCAGTATGATAAAAACAAAAACTTTCTGTAAAGCACTGTGTGACCAGAAGTTTGGTCACTGGTAAGAGACTGATGTAAAGCCAAGGACTAGTCCACTGAAGGCAGCATACAGCAAGTGAGGGCACAGAATGAACAGCTGACAGGTCAATTAAATTCTCTCTCCAAAAGCTAATTGACGAGCATTCAAAGTCCAGTAGATTCAAAGTTTCTATAAAGTAAAAAAGTTCTCTTTGAAAAAAGAAGAAGTGCTGTTTTCTTCCTCCCACCCCTTTCCCCATGTTTTGAACTTGTCCCCCATGACTGCGTGTCACATTCAGAGTGTCAGAGTTTTTAGGCCTCCAGCTCTCTCAGTGATTCTTCTGGGATATTTTAATAGTGACTGTTTTCACCTCAGTATATTCGGCCAGCGCGTATTCACCACTGAAAGAAAAAATAAAGCCATTTCAGTGCTTGCATTTGCCATTTTAATCATACTACATTTTCATGTATGATAGCTGCTTTCACCCAGCACATCTTATTTAATAATATCACTACATCTTATATAAACTATGCAGGCCCAGATCATCTGTTGCTTTAAATCAACGTAGGTCCATCAAAGCCAATGGCGCTCTGCTGACTTATACCAGCTGGAGAGCTGACCCATCGTGTCTCATAATTAGGGCCCCTACCAAATTCACTGTCCATTTTGGTACGTTTCACGATCATAGGATTTTAAAAATCATAAATTCCATGATTTCAGCTATTTAAATTTGAAATTGCACAGTGTTGTAATTGTAGGGGTCCTGACCCAAAAAGGAGTTCTGGGGGGGGAGGGGTTTGCAAGGTTGTTGTGTGTGTGTGTGGGTGGGGGGTGTGGTCGGTACGTGC